AAACCTTGAAAGATGCTTTGATTAGTTGATGGCGAAAGGACCGTTCTTGCAACTTTGTTGTTTCCATCACTTTCAGAGGCTCCTGTCCACGATGAAACTGCTTTTGTCATTTCCACCGTCTGATTCTCAAGTGTATCTCTCTGGATTTTTCCTGTGTTTGCAATCTACTTTTTTTTTTCTCTCTCTTGCCTTTTGCATGACGAGCACGCCGTGGACCTTCCAAATTTCTTTTGAATATAATCAAAAAACTTCTCCAACCTCTGTCATCTACTTATTAATCTTTCGAGTGGTAGATATGCAAATATCGAAATTAAGTTTTGCAGAAAGAAAATGGTTTCGGTCAATTATAAACTGTTACATGCCTTTGGACTAATTATGTTTCGTTAAATAAATGAATTGAAGATGTTCCGGAATTTATGATATAATTTAAGCAAGTTATATAATTCATCGCATCATTGAATTAATTTTTATATAATTAAATTTTGGTAAGTTAAATGTATCATTTGGCAAGTTAAAATAATGACGTATACTTTGACTAATTAAATTTTAAAAACTCATGGTTCAGTCAATCAAATTTTAATTGTGAGTGATTAAATTATAAATATTTTGTGATCAAAAGATTAAGTTGTTAAAGAACTTTCTCACTTAGCACTATATATAAATGAAACTCTTTTTTAAGTCATTTGAGAAACAGCAGTTGAGATGGGAGAAGATCTTAAAGAAAAAAGTCTCTAATATTTCAATTTTGAAAGAAAAAGATTTTGAAGAGCAAAATCTCTAAAATTCCAACACACAAGTCCAAAAAGGAAGATTGATGTTCAAGAATGCTAAATATTATACTTCATGTCTTGAATTAACACAATTAATTGTTTGTCTTAGATTTTTCCTCAAATAATCCTTAACAACATGTATATGACATATCATAGAGCAGGTCAAATAAATAAATTAACAAACTAACCTAAACAGGTATGGTGGTCCTCAAACTATGATTTAAAAGTTTTAGAATCTTATCCTTATTATTGAGATAACCTCGTCATGCATCATTCAAGAATATTTATTATTAAAAAATCATTATTTTTAGATAAAGATGAACTCAACGCAATGACAGGATAACAATTGTTACTTTTTAATTTTTATTTCAAGTATTATCTTTTAATTTTGAATTTTGTTTCGATTTATGATTTTGTATAATTCTCTTTTAATCACTCTTCATTCAAAATTCTAAATCCATCTTTTTCTCTACTCAATAAATATCTTCAATCAACTCAAAATGAAAATAGGGAAACGGTGACAAGGAAGGGAAATGTTTAATAAATCCAAAGTTAATTATTAAAACGGCCAATCCATGAAAGTTAACTAACAAATATTGGTTTTCAATTTGCCACACACATGCATTTCCTCCAAGAAGATATTTGATAGGAAGTAATAATATCCCAAAAGTTATTAAGTATTTAATCCATTCCTGCAGCGCCCACCACAACAGCCTAAAATTAGGGTTATATGTCACTTCAAACACAGCTTTTAGGCCTTGGTAAGAAAGGGGAAACTTTGGCTAATTGATTGAATTAGTTTGGAGGTTGATGATGACGTCCGTATCATTTTAATCTTTCGATGTGATGCATTTCTTTAGTTATCTGGTTTATGTCGCCCAGCAGCACTTTGCTATCCTAATGACCACCACCAATACTTTCTCCCCCTTCGCCCTCTAATGGGCTCCATATGTACTCTTTTCTAAGTGTGTGTGTGACACTCGTGTTCTGGGTGGCATAGTTTGAATAATGACTTGGAAATATAGAGAAATATTAATTAATATATCCTTATTATATTGTTAGTACGATATAATAGTATTTGTAGAAAAAAATGGTTTGATCCATTCTCTCATATTATAACTAGATAGTGATTAATTGAATTGCTTGAAAATCAAAAGGATAAAAAGAACAAAAGCATAAGATAAAAGGTTTTAACTTTTGCGATGGATTTGATTCAGAGAATAAAATAAAATAATTATTTTATAAGAATAAAATTAAATAAATATTATATACTTAAGTTTATAAAATAAAATATGATAAAATTGTTATTATAATTAATTTGGATGTTTGATTGGTAAGAATACTTTTAAAATAGTTAAAGAATAAATGATATAATGATAAAATTACTTTTTATTATAATTTAGTAAAGTAGATAAAATTATTCATTGTTATAATTTAATAATACTTTTTAATCTTTTAATTTTATGTTCATTAAAATTTTAAAATATTAATAATTTATTACTAAATTATTAATATGATTTTTTATTTCATTTTTTTTAATTTTTGTCTCTTTGTATTTTCATTTTAAATCTTTTTATTTCTATTTCCATTAAAAATTTAAACATTAATTAATATGATTTTTTATTTTTTATTTATAAATTTTAATTATTTTTAATAAATAAGAATATTTTTATCTAATAAATTTTTTAACTCTATTTCATAACACTGAAATAGCTATCAACAGGAGGAGGTGGAGAAGGACTCAACAAAGATTTTAAGGAAAGCATTGCCCGATCTATGGTTAAGTTTTGGTTTCAGTTTTCTTTGAGAAAATAGATATTATCGGACAGCGAAGATCTCCAATTTATTTTGTGAATTTATTGTGAAAACTGCGTCTGTGTCTGTCTTTTACTCTTTAGCTCCAACCATTTCTTTTTCTTATTATATACCGTCAAGTCATTTCAGATTTTAAATCATGTCACTTTCTCGAGCATGCTATCGTCAAAGATTTTTTGTTTTCTCTCATCTTTGGAATGAAAACAGTAAATACGCTGATGATTTGGTTTGAAGATGATGGACCAACTGGTATTCTTTTTCCACCCTTCGTTTTCCATCGTTTCACATTCGCTGTTTTAAAGAATTACATAACATTTTATGGACAAGATCATTTAAAAATAATAAAGTCTCTGAGTTTACGTTGATAACAGTGGAGTAAACATGGCAGCAATTAATTTCACAGCTGACCCTGTCTCTCCTTCAGGGGACGTGAGAAGTGAAAACGACGACAAAAAGGTCTCATACATACTGCGAATTTCGAAGATCCAGTGTCACCCTGGATTCTCGAGGGTAGTTGGGGATTGATTTCTGCAATCAATAAGCTTCATACAAAACAGATCTGGTTAAAAAATGGTGAAAGTATTTATCAAATTTTTATATTTTATATTTAATTTAATTTAATTTTTATATTTAAAATTAAAGTAATTTAATTTTTTATTTTAAAAATCATTTTAATTTAATTTTTTAATAATATATAATTTTACTATTCAAAAAAATCACATTGACATAATACATTTGATAAAGTGATATTAATATGATAACGTGATAGTACTATATGACATTACGTGATGATATATTAATGTTAACGTGACACTAATATATTAATGTGTTAGTATCACATGGTAAATTAAAAAAATTTTGAAAAAAATTTATGTCACATAATAAAGATTAAATTGAATAAAAATGTATAATACAAGTGCTCAATCGAACAAAATTGAATTATTGAGGGATTAAATTAAAAAAATTATATAAAAATATAAATCTTTAAGTACATATATATATATTTATTGATAAGCTAAATATTTAAGAGTAAAAGATTTATGTTATTAAAATATATATATATAAATATTTTATTGATTATTTGATTTCAATATATATATATTAATTTATCTCCTTTGTAAAAATTAAGTTTGAATTCTCCTTCTATGAATTTTTTTTTTAAAAAAATTCATATCTAAAGCTAAATTTAAATGAATAATTTGCATTATGTTGGAATAAAGTAATATACAAAAACTAAATAAATTCTTTTTTTCTTCGTTTTATAATCGTACAAATTTGAAATTTATTTGACTTAATTTTTAACTTGAGCGGAACTCAAATTAGTAAAATAGATTCATTTAGTTACAGTTTTTACAATTTATAAATACGTATTCTTTTTAAATTATTTAACCCTTAGCCAATTTACTTTTTTTTTTAATTTTAGTAAAAGTTTCTTATAAAAAGATTTTATTTAAGTTTAAAAATTATAATCAAATTCTGCTAAATTTTAATTTAGCTTATTAATTTGGATCTACAAAAAATTTGTAAGTACAAAATAAAAATAATGAGAAAATATTTATAAATATTTTTTAACACTATAAATTTTTTACACTTAAATATTTAATTTATTAATAAGTATATATATTATCTTAAAGATTTATATTTTTTAAATATTTTTATCAATTTAGTCTTTACCCACTTCAATTTTTTTAACTTAATCTTTGTATTATAGATTTTTATTTAATTTAGTCTCTATGACGTGACATAATTGTTTTAAATTTTTTTTTTCTCGATATGCTTCTTCAACATTGTCACGTGGTATTGACAAGTCAATATGACCCTCATCATCATATTAATGCCACTTAGCACTATTATGTCATCACATTAGTACCACATGATATCGTTATATTATCAAAATGTGTTACGTTAGTACTGACGTCATTTCTTTTAACGATAAAATTAAATATCACTAAGAAAGGGATTAAATAGAAATAATTTTTAAAATCAATGATTAAATTATTTTAATTTTAAATACAGATATTAAATTGAACAAAATATATAAATATAAAAACTTGATAGATATTTTGACCTTAAAAATAAAAATTGAAAAGTAAGAAAGCTTGAGGTGTGTTTTAAAATACCTTTTTAAAAAGTTATCATCTGCTATAGGAATATGCAAAATCAAACTTATTGCAAAACGCCTTTTGAAAATTGAAGTCTATCTTGATGTAAGTTTTTTCTCATAAATATTGAAAAATTACGTCAATTATGTTTCAGTTGATGTGACTATTGTATTTTAAACACTTCTCCGATTTTAAATGTTATGTTTTAATCATGATCAGTCATATTTGAATAATTAAGACTTCCAATGTTACAATCTAACCATCCATCACTAATTTCACTTGCATTATTCCAATGTTAATTACCGGTCACATCTACTTAATTGTTGACATGGGGACGCACGCGTTCATAGAAAGGGAGAAGTTTTACATCTTGCCATTCAAGGAGCTGTTAGCACTTCGCAGCTCTTTTTCAAAAGAGAAAAACACAATATGAATTTCTACACTTACGATTACAAAAGAAACTACTCTATCTATCATCAGTTCATCCAGGTGACGAGCTAGCTAACCCCCCATCAAAACTCAAGCAAGTCATCTATATCAACAGAATCGACCACTCCAGAGATGACATCCGCATGATCTGCAGCCGACAACACTGCCATTTGAGCTGATGACTCGAACGCCGTTAAGTGGTCAGGTGACAGGAGATAATCGGGTGATGATGTGGAAAGGTTATAGGTGATGTCACTTGGCATATCTTCCTTGCTTTCCTGCTTCACTGGTGGGAAAGCTGAGAAAATGGAGTTGTCTTGCTTGTTGGTGTTTGCAAAGCTGAGGAGTATGGACGAGTCCTTGGAAGGGGAATCCAGGATGAGTTGAGAAGCCTTGAGAAGATTTTTGCAAGTGTGATGGCCGTGATATGTTGTTCGGTACTTTGGCGGGTTGTCTTCAATCTGCTGGACTTGCTTGGTTGCTCGGCAGCCCTGATCATTCTTATGGGTGCATCTGAAGTAGTTTCTGCACAGAAATATGTCCCTCCTAGAATTAATTTTCCTCTCACAAGGCAACTTCATGATGAATCAAAGCTAGAAAGCAAAAGCTATCAAAATATAATTAAATAGGGTTTTAAAGAAAATAGCATAAGTGTGACCGTGTGATCACAACCAGGTTCATTTGATGTATAGCTTGCCCTAATATTTAGCAAAGGAACTATATACAGTAATTTAATCATTTTCTGAAGTGACATGAGGTACCTCTCTAGTTCCTTATGTTTTTACTAAGAATATCTACATGCCACAAAACATGCTTAAAAGCAACTTTTGTCTAACCAACATTAGAAAAGAAAAATGGAGAAAATCCAACTCATAAGAGGAAAAATCGACCTTGTCTACTAGATGAAAAATTAGGAAAGACCTAGTATTTCTTAAGCTAATTTCCAGTTGTCTTTCTTGATCATGAACAACCTAGACGAGAATTTAATCTGGCGAAAATGAGTGGGGAAAAGTTACCTTGGGTGTTTGGCGTTGAGGATTACTTTCTGTCCATATTTTCTCCATGCATGGCCATCATCAATCAGAGTAGGACTGTCTCTTGTCCATGAGTGTTCACTCTTCCTACCGTAAATAAATTCCAGTTAACTGTTAGCCACCTCCAAAGATCACATTAAGAAACTCTAAAGCAAATTCGTACGCTAAAGTGATAAAAAAGAATTTTAATTATTTAATTAAACTCCTTTTAGGCGATGTTTTTATTTTTTTTCCCAAAGAATAATAGAAAAGAAAATGTAAAAAAAAATAAAATAATAAAAAGGTCAAAAGATAAATAGCATAAAGGAAAAGCATGAAACTCAATCCATTGAATTGACAATGATAAATCAAATTGTCTAAATCCAGATGCAGTAAAACCATAAGAGATCTACTAATTACTGTTGCTGAAAAGCACATATATATGTTCTTTTAATCCTTAAACAAATTTAAAAATATAATTAAAAAAATATACGCACAAAATATAATCGCTCATATTTTACACAAAAGATTCAAATCAAACCCTCCGAACAAGGGAAAGCTGGATTCCAATTGAACATCCGTTGCAAAATGCAATTGCCTTTGGCAATGCTACTATCTCTTTGTCAACTTAACACCTAAGACAAGGCAATGAGGCTGTCCGTACTTGTCTTAATAATAATAAAAAAAAAAACAATTACCCTAGCTGAGAAACCTAGACGGATATAATAATTTCTGGTTTTTTATGGGAAAAGAAAATAGTAGAAATGATGAAGAGAATATTATTATTACCTTCTTTTGTAACATCCTCTTCGATCCTTTTGTGTTGAACTCTTGATGCTCTCTCCCGATTCCTCGGATTTCCGACCATCCCAACTCATGTTGCTGTTCCTGGGTTTCTGGGAAACCTCGTCATAGTCACCACTACTGCTTCTTAATATCGAAAGCGTGTTCGCAAACGAGTTCAAGATTTTCGTTACTAGATCTTCACTTCCCAACAAACCATCATCTCCGAGAGATTTACTAAGGAGATCCCGCAACTGATTTGTCAAGTCCCTGCCTCGAGCAAGCTCTTCAATTGCTTTCCTTCGACCCGAAGACATGTTCTCCGACCAAGCCGACTGCAATTTTTTCTTCCTTTATTTATTTTTTTTTTTTTTGCGCGTGATTAAGTTTAGAAAACACAAACCTAAGCGATAAGGAGAAGGAAGCCTTTATATCCAAGGTAAAAGTAAAAGCACAGCTACATTGCAAATGCCAGGAAGAGAAAAGGAACCAAACGGGGAAAATTCCACGTATTGAGGACTTATGATTGCTACCAATGCCACGCGCGGTTGACACCGTCGCCTAATTATGAACGGAAAACTCGTCTCACTTTAAGGACATTTTAAAAACGGATTATAAAGGCAATGTGACGGTCGTTAGCTTGTAAGTTCATTTATGTGAAGGAGCTAGTTAGCGGATTTAACTGCAGCGCGTGCCAGAGAGGTTGGAGCCTCTCGCGATTGTCTAGTGATGTCATAAAATTTATGTCATCCTTTCATCGTCAGCACCCGAGCCATATGACGTGCGGTAATGAAAGAATATGCAAGTTGAATTATTATATTATTTGTTGTTTACTATGTTAATTTTTGTCTGACATATTGAAAAGACAATTGTACCCTTGAGAGTGGTATTCGAGATGGACTTTTGTGGTAGGAAGGGGTAAATTATAGGGACAATTGGGGGCCATTTTGGGTGCATAAAAGACGACAAGAGTTGGGTTGTTTAAATAATTAAATCACCGAAAAAATTATTGTTAATCGCAGTAATGAACTACGCTCAGCCTCGGTGTGGATAAATATGCAGATGCAGCAGGGAGTGGTACTGTGCGGAGAACAGTCATCATCGTCCTTGCCGAGAAAACGCTATTGTGATCCCATCCTCCAAGGGCCTCAATCATAACGCAAGTTTTTAATGTGCATAATGCACCATATCTCTCTTATCCAACGGCTACCATCCTATTCCTACGCAGGTAAGATGAATCAAGTGGTCAAGTTTTCGAGCCTTTTTCTTGGTTGGATAAAGCTAATATTTTTAGCTCTTAGACCTTTCGTTAGGGCCAGGGGTCATCTTGACAAACACTAATCAGTAACAACCCAAACACTCATTCAGAGTTGATTCTACTCATCAAGGGTTTACCCCCCTTCTAATTTACCGCAAAAAAAGAAAAAAACACTTGTTAGAGTTTTGCAAACCCTAATTCTTATTCGCATAACATAATAAAGAAACATATTTGAACACGTTATAATGCTGGACTATTTACAAAAGTATATCTATTTCTGAATTAAATTTGTTGTAATTTACTATTTTAATACTAGTTACAAGTCGTCGAAGTGTTCGACAGTTGGCATTTCCCTCTGCTATTAGAGATTGAGAACCTTTTATGTGTAACAGACCAGATGCCAAAGCCGAAGTACATGGTGTCTCGCATCTTTCTGTTTCTAGTTTAAACAATATGTCTTAAGGACTTAGAAGAAAATCCAGGATATTTAAACACCGATATGTGTAGGGTTAGTACTCGAAATCACTCTACTGCAAGAATCAGATGTGATACTGCTTGTTGCGACTCCATCGAGTTAAATCCATTCGTTGCATATTGAATTCGGTTTGTATTCATTAGGAAGACATGTATTATTAATTTATATGTTTTTACACTAAGCGATTCAACTAATTTAATTATAAGATTTTTCTTACACATGACATAATTAAATGAAATGGTGTTAGAGTAATATTTTCTCTTTATTGATTTAGCATATACTTTGTTGTGGCTATGGAGATTAGAAATTTCCTATGGGGAGCACGTGCACGTTCTGATGTTATGGCTACTTTTAGGAATTTCTGGTGAAGGAAGGATCTAGGAATGATCTAATTTGTCCCTTATGCTAAAAATAAAGAGGAAAACTATACTGAACATGTCTTGTTACAGTGTGAATGGGTGAAATTAAGGGGTTTGGTTTGGTACAAAGGTGGGGTACAACACTGATAAAATGGATAAAGAAGTTTCTTCAAATGGACAACTTGGATATACAGTGAAGAAATGTTGATAATGTTTGTTTCTTTAGCTTTCATTTATTAGAACATCTAGAAGGGCAGCTGTGAGGCTTGTTTTACAGGTCAAAATCCAAATGTGTTGCTGACATCACAAAGAATTAAATACAAAGGGCTATGGTAGAATTTTGGGGGATCATGCAACCAAAAAGGAAAAAATTAAAGCATAATGTAAAGCAGGATATAGATTTAAAGGAAAGGAGAAATTGGAAAGACCGGATGAGAGGTAGGTGAATGTAAATCCTGACGGTGCTTTTAATAATACATATATAACCAAAAGCTGTAATTAGTATAATTGTAGTAGTTGATAGGAAGATTGTAAATGCAAACTCTGCTTTAGAGAAGGAATTAAACTAGTTGGGGAGGTGTTTGAGACCAAGAAAGACCTATGTAAAATGGAAATTAATGCCACTGGTGAAAGATTTACAAGCTTTCCTTGGTGCATATACTGGAAAATGATGAACTCTCAGCAATACCTGTAGATACACAGTGATTTAGGGTACAAGGTAGGAGGAGATAGACCTTCTCATACTTGTACCCTCAATATCTTTAGAGAGTTTACATGTACATAAATTTATAATTTTACGATAAAGTTTTTCTTGAGTTGTATATAACATGTAACTAGCTAGATAGCTAAAGTGCATGTCCCTTCAGCTGTAGAAAGTATTTTTAATTTTTCATCCCTATTTCCACATTATACATGCATGATCAGTGATATATAAATTTAGCAACCCATATTTTCAATTTTTTTAATAGAATTGGAAAATTATTGAAAATGATTTTTCAGTTTTCTAACCACATTAGAAATCCTTTGTTTTTCAAAGTAAATCCTTTTATTCCAATTTTCAAAATTTAATTATTTAACTTATATAGTAGTGATCATATTTAGAGTATGAATAAAAATAATAATAAAAAAACGTTTTCTGAAATTATTTACGTTGAGTTTTGTCTTTTGATATACTGTTTGGTAGATTTGGTCATCAGTGTTGATTATGATACTGTATTAAAAATGTTAGATAACATGGGAACACATAGGAGTAAGGAAGAAAGAAAGCTGGTGGTTGGAGTTGCCAAGTTTAATTGGTCCAATTAAATATTAATTTACAGCTTGGAGTTGATCTGAACAAGGAATTTGACTTCACATTTGGGGATGTAATTTCCATGAGGTGATATTGCAACAACCAATAATGTTTGTTTAATTCTTCCTAACCCAAGAACTTTGCATAGATGCAAGAGGAATAGCAGATACTAGGTAGTTTCGTTTAGGAATTAATTGTCATGACAGCTAGCTCCTATAAGAAGATAATGTTTTTTATTTCTTTCCTGTCATTCATTGGAGAAAATCTTTTGTCACCCGGACCACAGCTTTCCTATTGGGACAGCCCACTTTGATTTAACTGTAAAAAATTGGTTCTGGTAAATCTGCTGTGACAATAAAAAAAAAAATTGTTTAATTATAGTCATATTTTCTTTGTACAATGTTTTTAAAAAAATTTGAACTATTTTTTGAGGCTAACGAGACCTATCGCTAGCATTCCACGTCAAGTTTGCAGTCCAAAAATGGTGACATGAAAGGCTATCAAAGGGTTCTATCATTGTCTAACACTAGCTGATTAGCAAAGGCAACATGCCAAAGTAGTGGTCAAAATTTAACCTTCAAAGGTCTACAAAAATGTGCAGAAAAAAGAAACACAGTAACTGAATGAATAGTTTACTTAAAAGTATTGAATCTGTCCCTGTAACTGTGAGAGTAGTCTCCTCAGTCCTCAGGAGGAATGGGCAGCCTTAAACCTATAAGTTAAGATTCATGTTTACACCATCCGAGCCTGATTAATACTCACTTCATCATTTTAATGTTTCTTAATGAAAGTCAACTAGTCAATGCCTACATATGTTTTTAGTTACATGTCCAATAACCATATTATATAGATGATGTATCATGCATGTGTCAAAGAGTCATTATTCTCTTTCTTAAAAACTAACTTAATGACTATGTAGTGTCTATGTTAATAAATCTAAAATATCTTTTTTACTTATTTGACGTTAGATTTCATGTCTTTTACTTGTAACATTTTCGTTATGGATAGAATCATTTTATCTACTTCATTTTTAGGAACGCTTGACGTTTAATGTGACATCAAAATCAAATTTAGA